GGGAGAGAGACGTGCTTAACGTTGTTACAGGTGATACTACTGATTGCAGTAGAATAGATTTTACAATCTACCAGAGGGAAAGGAAGAGCTGTTGGCTGAACTACTTGCAAGCATATTCATGCTGCATTGCATAATTTTCTGCTTGCAAGAATATTTATAAATATTCAGAGCGCAGCGATGCAATGATTGCACTATTAAAGATTAAACAAACCATTGGCCTATTCGTGTGGCTTGATTGACAGGCAGTTCTGGCAAATCAGTATTGCGATAAAACGTTCTATTCTTAACGAAGTGCAACAAAATCGACAATATTGCGTGCATGCGTAAATGTGGCATCTACAAATTGGGCTAGCTTAACCCACCTGGCAACAGTATATATCCAGGGGTGGCTAGCTCAGAAGGAAAGGTAAATTATTAAACACTTCATTTATCCTTAATTATAAATTGGTGATATTGCAATTCATATACTATAATATATAGATGATAAATGATTTGGTAGTAAATTTTTTTGCGAAATGTTATAGGAAATAATTGCCTTCTCATAGCTATCCGTGATTTGACAACACCGCCGTTTTCCCCTCATATATAAATGTGACTATGGCTTATAAACGTTCCATTTTGGATTTATTTACAGACGACCGTGAAGAATGTAGCATTCTCACGTATTTTACGTGTTTTTTGCCATATTTACGTAAGGGACTATAATTACGTTCTTGAAATACTGTTAATAGTAATAAATGATATGATAACGTGTAGACTTGTGATGATACGCGCAAGCTATCCCACGACTATTGATCGAGATCGTAAACAAATATATGTGGCAAATTGCGAGAGCATCGATTGGAATTCGAGCGATGAGGATCGGGTATTAATGTTTTGCCACTGTAGCAGCGAGAGGAGAAACAGTCACATGTTATATACATATGTCAATATCAAATGTCAATGGTTAATTACATAGATCGCGAAGTTATTACGGCGTGTTGTAAAATGGGGCGTAGCCTGAGCAAGTTCTTATGTGCCGAGGTGGGGGGGGGGATTTTGTGACTCAGCTAGAGTAATGAACAAGGAATAGACGCAGCTCCCAATCAATGTGTGCTCTGATGTGACAGTGGATGCGAGCGCTTCCTGGATTGCCACATGGCGATTTACACGTATTTTATGATTATAGGCTACACAGGCTATAATTGCTACACAGGCTGTATGATTATAAGCTACACACACGATAGGCTACACAGTCATGTATATACAGATATATATTGCGAAGCTTAGCCCGTTGAAACCCTACAGTCGCGATCGATGCGCGTTCATGACTGGCTTTTTTGGCTCGCAGAGGATTTTAAGCTGACTCACGATACGATAGATCCAGGGTGCCCGGATGACTGCATCGTCGACACGTACGAGTACCAGATGTCATCGCACGTAGCGCCCTCTGTGCGCTGGTCGAAAGTCCTAAATAGGTCATTGGCTGAATCAAGGTTAGAAGTTATTTTTTCGCATTGAACCTATATGATTGCTTAAATATTCGATTTGACGTG